TGAAGCCACCTTCCCTCACTTATTGGGGTTATGGTGGGAAAAGACAGCCCTTTGCTGGGCCCCTGCAGAAGTGGAGCTAAAGGACAACATTCCTTTTGGTGAAACTCTGTCAAGTTTTCCTGTACACTTTCTATGTGCTGGGCAATGTCGGGGTAGTGGAAGAGGTATGCTGTGGGGTCAGAGGGTCTGAGGAGGAGTTCTGGTCATTAATTTTCATGTGACTGTGAGCATGAGGTGATTTCAGTTCTCTGAGCCTCAGTTACCTCATCTGTCAAATGGGGATGTATACACCCACCTCCCAGGGCTGTTGAGAGTTTAAATAAGACTATGTAGAAGAAAGGCCTTCATAAATGGCTCCGGCTGGGAGCTGAAACATAGGTATTCAGCGTGAAAAACCTTCTTATAGACAAAGAAGAGTCTTTTATCATGTTCTCAGACTGTTGTTTGTTTCTTCCCCCAGCCAGAAGGTCCTCCCTGGGATAGCCCAAGGGTCTGTGGTCATGATTCTTCCTGCTTCCAGGCTGCCCTGTGGTTCTCTGACCAGGCATCAGATGGACATGTTTCCTTCATCTCTGATGGCTCTCAGGCTCTTGGCAAGAATCTTAACACCCATCTTAGTCAGTTCAGACTGCTATAACAAAAATACCAAAGACTGGGTGGCTTAAACAGCAGAAATTTATTTCTCACAGTTCTGGAGGGTGGGAAGTCTGAGGCCAGGGTGCCAGTATCGTCAGGTTCTGGTGAGGCCCTGCTTCCTGGTTTCCAGATGGCCATCTCCTTGCTGTGTCCTCACGTGGAGGAGAGAGATCATCTCTCTGTGTCTCTTCTTATAAGGGTACTAATCCCATTCATAAGGGTTCTACCCTCATGACCTACTTATCTCCCAAAGGCCTCACCTCCAAATACCATCAGTTTGGGATTAGGGCTTCAACACATGAATTCCGGGGGAACACAAACATTCCTTGCCCCAGGTCAGAGGTTGGTGGGGTTTGCCAGTCGTCCTAGGCATTTCCCACTTGTCTGAGATTAGCTTCACAGTCAGCACTCAGGAAACTGCCATCCATTCCACTCCTGATGCCCATCCAGGGGTGGTCTTGGCAATTCCTATGGCAGATGTCACCTCTTCATGAACTGGGGCCCATTCGGTTCTGGTTGTGGTGGGAGGTTATTGTTGGACCTGATGCCATTGGAAGTCCCTTTCAATCATGGGCTTACCATGCTGGAATAAGTGGTGGTGACAGGACCAATTTATACCCACATCCTATATTTCTAGTCTGTTTGGTGCCATGGCAACTGGGCAAAGGTCTAATTTCCACCCTAAGCTGTCTTTCTGTTCTGCACATCAATTCACCTCTTGGTACCGAACCAACCTGACAAGGATAGACTTTTGCAGACGCCGCCTGGGTTTCCTGCATATAGATGGTAAGCACGAAGAGTCCAGTGATGACTGCACACATAGCAGCCTCAGTATGTAGGCTGCAGGTCTCTGCTTTGATCCACCAGAAGGGCCTTGATGCAGGGATGTGGGTGGGAGGTAGCTGAGCAGGGGCTCAAATGTCTGTGTCTGTTCCAAGTACTGGTAGCTTCTGGGCACCCTGAGGGGTTTCTGGCCACCTGTCCACTAATCAAAGCTCGATCCTGCCCTTTGCCTGCCCGTTGTGTGACCTTGAATGATGCATGCTACTTCCTTAAACTTCAATGTCTTCTTCTATAAAAGAGGGTAAATAAAATATTCCTCCTTGAAATGAGGGTGATAATAATCTCTCCAAAATAGGAGTAATAATAATCTGCCCATATAGGGATTTTCTTTTAAATTAATAGACTTTGTTTTAGAACAAGTTTAGGTTTATAGATATATTGAGCAATACTACAGAGAGTTCCCACACATAGCCCTCAACAGACAATACACACACACACACACACACACACACACACACACACACACAGAGTTCCCTTTTTTTTTTTTTGCGGTACGCGGGCCTCTCACTGTTGTGGCCTCTCCCGTTTCGGAGCACAGGCTCCGGATGTTCAGGCTCAGCAGCCATGGCTCACGGGCCCAGCCGCTCCGCGGCATGTGGGATCCTCCCGGACCGGGGCACGAACCCGTGTCCCCTGCATCGGTAGGCGGATTCTCAACCACTGCGCCACCAGGGAAGCCCCAGAGTTCCCTTTTTATTAACATCTTGCTTTAGTGTAGTATATTTGTTGTAATTGATATATCATTGTTATATTATTATTAACTAATATGCATAGTTTACATTAGGGTTCCCTGTTTGTGTTGACAGTTATATGGATTTTGACAAATGCATGACATCATGTATCCACCATTACAGTATCATGCAGAATAGTTTCACTGCCCTAAAAATTCCCTGTGTTCCATCTATTCTTTTCCCTTGCTTCCCCCTCCCCCAGCCACAAGAACTCCTGGCAACCATTGATCTTTATACTGTCTCCATAATTTTGCCTTTTTTCAGAACGTCATATAGTTGGAACTATAAAATATGTTGCCTTTTCAGACTGGCTTCTTTCACTTATAATATGCATTTGAGTTTCCTCCATGTCTTTTCATGGCTTGATGCTCATTTCTTTTTGTTGTTGAATAACATTCCATTATATGGATGTACCACCGTTTGTTTATCTGTTCATCTTTTGAGGGACTTCCTGATTGCTTCCAGTTTGAGAAAAGTATGAATAAAGCTGCTATAAACATCTGTGTGCAGGTTTTTGTGTAGACAGAGTTTTCAGCTCATTTGTGTAAATACCTAGGAGCATGATTGCTGGATTGTATGATAGACTATGTTTAGCTTTGTAAGAAACTGCCAGACTGTCTTCCAAAGTGGCTGTACCATTTTTACATTGCCACCAGCAGTGAATGAGAATTCCTATAATTCCACATCCTCACCAGAATTTGGTGATGTCAATTTTTTGGACTTTAGCTATTCTAATAGGTATGTAGTGATATCTCATTACTGTTTTAACTTGCAATTCCCTAATGACATGACGTTGAGCATCTTTTTATACCCATATTTGCTATCTGTATATTTTCTTCGGTGAAGTGTGTTCAGATCTTTTGCCCATCTTTTAAATTCTGTATTTTTTTTTCTTACTATTGAGCTTTAGGAGTTCTTTGTATGTTTGGATACAAGTCCTTTATCAGATATGTGTTTGCAAATATTTTCTCCCAGCCTGTGGCTTGTCTTTTCATTCTCTTAACAGTGTCTTTCACAGAGCAGAAGTTTTAAATTTTAATGAAGTCCAACTTATCAAGTTTTTCATTTAGGGATCTTGCTTTTGGTGCATATCTAAAAACTCATTGCCAAACCGAAGGTGACCTAAATTTTCTCCTATGTTATCTTCTGGAAGTACTTTAGTTTTGCATTTTACCTTTAGGTCTGTGATCCATTCTGAGTTAATTTTTCTGAAAAGTGTAAGGACTGTGTCTAGATTCTCTTTTTTCCCTGTGGACGTCCAGTTGTTCCAGCACCATTTGTTGAAAAGGTTATCCTTTTTCCATTGAATTGCCTTTGCTCCTTTGTCAAAGAACAGTTAACTGTATTTATGTGGGTCCATTTTGGAGGTTCTCTGTTCTGTTCCATTCATCTAGTTGCTTATTATTTTGCCAATATCACAGTGTCTTGATTACTGTAGCTTTATAGTAAGTCTTGAAGTCAGGTAGTGTCAAACCTCTGACTTTGTTCTTCTTATTCATTGTTGTGTTGGATATGCTGGATCTTTTGCCTTTCCATATACACTTTAGAATCAGTTTGTTGATATCCGCAAGTAGCTTGCTCAGGTTTTAATGGGGATTGCTTTGAATCTGTAGGCGAAGTTGGAAAAACTGGTATCTTAATAATACTGAGTATTCCTATTCATGAACGTAGACTATCTCTCCATTTATTTAGATCTTTGATTTTTTTCATCAGAGTTGTAGTTTTCGTCATACAGATCTTATATTTTTTTGGTTAGATTTATACCTAAGTATCTGATTTTTTGGTGCTAATGTAAGTGGTATTGTGTTTTTAATTTCAAATTCCAGTTGTTCATCGCTGGTATATAGGAGAGCAATTGACTTTTGTATATTAACTTTGAATCCTGAAACCTTGCTATAATCCCTTGACATAATAGTTCAGGAGGTTTTTTTTGTCAATTCTTTGAGATTGTCAACATAAACAATCATGTTATCTGCGAGCAAAGACAGCTTTATTTCTCCTTTCCCAATCTGCATACCTCCTACTTCCTTTTCTCATCTTACTGCAGGACTTCCAGTCACAATGGTGACTAAGAGTTGTAAAATGATTCATTCTTCCTTTGTTCCCAGTCTTAGGGGGAAAGCATCTAGTTTCTCACTATTAAGTATGATGTTAACTATAGGTTTTTGGTAGTTCTTTATCAAGTTGAGGAAGTTTCCCTCTATTCCCAGTTTGCTGAGAGGTTTTTTGTTTTTTTTTTAAAATCATGAATGGGTATTGGGTTTTATCAAATGCTTTTTCTGCCCATACAGGGTTTTGAGAAGGTTAAATGAGCTACTGCATATGGAGCACCCAGCACAGGGCTAGCACGTGGCAAATGCTCAATATATGTATAATTGAAAGGTAACGTTGGGTGTCAAACATGTTAATTGCTGATGTATAGGAGAGCAATTGACTTTTGTATATTAACCTTGTGTCATGAAACCTTAGTATAATCCCCTGCTATAATAGTTCCAGTTTTCTGTCAATTCTTTGAGATTTTCAACAGACTCCAGAGCCAAATTGCCTGGGTTAAAATCCTGACTCCACCACTTATAAGCTGTGTGACGTTGAGTCATTTACTTAACCTCTCTGTGACTCAGCTTCCTCATCTGTAAAACAGGGTTGATAATAGTGTCTCCTTTATAGAATTGCTTAAGGATTAAATCAATGAGTATTTGTAAAATGCTTATTATGAAAGCACCAGGCGCATATACAAGTAATATTATACAGGTGATATTAACCACCATGGTCCTCTCCCTTTTATTGTAGCCGGATTTCTCCACATCAGAGAAGCAGTTGAGAACAGGTAATCAGATGGTCTGGATTTGAATCTCAGCTTTACTGCTTACTAGCTGTATGACACTGGATAAGTGACTTAAACTCTTTATGCCTTGATTTTTTCATTTGTAAAATAATAACAGTACATACTTCATGGAGTTACTATATGGATTGAATGTGTTATATATGTAAAGTACTTAGAAAAAGACATGGCCAAAACCTGTTAGCTATTACTGTTATTTTCGGAGGCCAGCTTTTCAAGGTGTGGTCTCTAGCTGGGCTGCTCAGAGACTGTGGTGGAAGAGAACATAGACCCAGGGTGCACAGCCCAGGGTTACAGACTGCAACTGGTGGATAATCTAGCCGTTAGTGTTGCCTTAGGGGCTGCCAAGGAGGTAGTGAGTTCTTCATCACTGGAGGTGTTCAAGCAGGGATTGGGGGTTTGGCTGGGTTATCTGGAAGCTTCTGTCTAGGCCGAGAGTCTGGGAAGTCTTAGTCTGGCTGAGAGAGGATGGAGCATAAGGTTCTGAGAAGGTGACTCAGGAGATTGGTAGGGATTGGCTCTGACACCTTTCTCTAGCTTTAATTAGAGCCATTCCACGTGCATCCGTTTTATATCTTCAGGCTCCAAAGACTTTTTTTTGGAGGGGGGAATGTCCAACCCCCTCTTTTTCTTTCACAGCAGGGGGAGACTGAGACTCTGAGAGGGGAAGTTATTTACCAAGGTCATGCAGCGGGTCCCAGAATCTGCGGCTCCTGACTCCTAGTCCCATGCTCACTTTATCCCATCCTCCTGACTCTTCTTGTTACTGCCACTCTAGCCCCTGATGGGCACTCTGCCCCTCGGCTCCCACATTGATTGATGACCTTGGCCCTGGCTTTGCTTGAGCTCAGCTCCCTGGAGTGGAATCTGCACAGGCTGCTCTCCCCTAGGCCAAAGCTTTAAACTGAGTCTCCCTCCTGGAACTGGGTGGGCTCCGGGTTGCTACAGTGTCCCCATCGTGTTGAGAGTAGCCTACCCCATCCACTAAGGTTGTATTCATTTATTTATTATTTATCCAACCAACGAACGGATATTGAGTTCCTACAATATGCAGGGCATGGATGCTAAGTTCTGGGGATATGGTGTTGTGTGAGATAGACAAGTTCCTATTCTTATGCATCTTACAGTCTACTGGGGAGGGCAGACAAATAGCAGTTAATTCCATTTGAGTATTGGCTTATCAGGGTAGGCTAACTGTTGTAACAGACAACTCTAAAATGTCAGCAGCTTAATACAATGTGGAATTTCTGGTCAGGTGGCTCTCTTCAGCTACTCTCATCCAAGCAGTGACTCGGGGACCCAGGCTGGCGGTTCTACCCTCCTGTAGGTCCTCAGCATCCTCTTCATTCAGCTGAAATGGGGGAAAGAGAAAGCGCCTGTAGGATCATGTGGGAAGTCAAGGCCAGACCTGGGATGGCCTCCGTCACTTCTGCCCTCCTTCCATTGGCCAGAACTCAGTCACATGGTTCCACCTAACTCCAAAGGGGGATGGGGAAAGTAGTCTAGCTCTGAGCCCAGGAAGAACGAGAAATGGGGTTTGTTGAACACATGGCCGTCTGTGTCACAGTGTGATCATTTCAGTGTTAGGGGAAAGCTGGCACCTTAGGAAGGCTTCTCAGGGGAGGTGACATCTGATATGAGACCTGGAGGATGAATAGGAGTTGGCCAGGGGGAGCAGAGGGAGAGAAGTTTTCCTTGCACAGGGAAATGTTGAGCATGATGTGTTTGGAGAACTGAAAAGTGTTTGTCTGGCTAGAGCTGAGAATGGGAGTTGAGGAGGGCAGTGAGTGATGAGGCTGGACAGTGGGACCCAGAGCCTGAATGACTTGCGCTCAGGACAGTTGGAGCCAGGAGAGGGAAGGACACAGACATATTGGTGATTTAGATAGACGTCTCAGCAGAAGATGGACTGGAGGGGCAAGAGGCTGAAGGTGGGGAGCTGTTGGAGGGTCTAGGTGGTGGGTGATGGGGCTGGACCAGGGCAACAGCTGCTATTTAGAAGGAAGAATTGAAAGGACCTGGTGACCCATTTGACGAAGGGGTGATGAGTAAGAATCAAGGGCACTGCTGAGCTTCCATAGTAACTATTTGGCTAGTTCAGCAAGAGGGGTTGGCCACATATGACCTGTTTTGTAAACAAAGTTTTATCGGTACACAGCTCTGCCCATTCATTTCTGTATTTTCTGTGGCTGGTTTTACACTACAGTGGCAGTTGAACAGTTGTGACAGAAACTGTATGGCCCTTAAAGCCTAAAATATTTATTATCCAGCCCTTTACAGATAGGTTTGTCAATCTCTGGGCCAAATAGTTGGCTCATTTCAGTAAGTAAAGAAAAAATCAGTTAAGCTAGTATTATGGCTTAGGCATCATTTTCCATCCATACATCCATTCATTCAGCTTCTGTTTCCTGGGTGCGCATGGATGGTGCTTGACTTGCCTGCCTGTGTCCACAGGACTGGCTTGTGAGTTGGTCTGATTGCGAGAGGCAGCAGTCTCAGAGGCAGGCGTCTGCTTTTACACATCAGGGCATGAGGACTGTGGTCGAATCTGCAGCACAGCTGCAGGCTGCTGCCCTGGCCCAGACTGGCCTCTGGAGCTGGCCGTTCAGGCCGAGGGGTCTTCTGGGGTAATCACACTTACATGAAGCTTTCTCACACATGGTGTCCTTTACTCTACAAGGCAGTGCTTGAGCTCCACATTACCACACCTCCGTTGTGTAGATCAAGAAACCAAGACTCAGAGAAGTGAGTAGCTCAAGGCAAAGGAAGGGAACAGGCAGATCTCTTCCTGGTCAGAGCTGAAGATCCAGTAGGGGTGACTTGTGGTCTCAATTCTTTCTCCCCTGAAGACCTAGGGAGCAGGGCAGGAGTGGCCACTGGGCCAGAGCCCCTGAACCTCCCAGCCATCTGGCACCTCCTCTGCTTTAGTCCCAACCAGGGGTTACAGATGTGAGCTGGACAGTGTGGGAATGCAGCTTTGCAGCAGTAATTAGTTTATTCCTGAGGTCAGCAGTATAAATAGTAGAAAAATGTATTTCCTGTTCCAAGCCAAATAAGCAAGTGGCAGCCAGTTGGCCGGGCGCCATTGATGGGATTTCAGCCATGCGTGTGCCTTGCCTTTGGCCACGAGTTTGGGCGGGAGAGCAGAGGAGGAATGTTTCTCCACAGGCCCAGTCCTGCCCTTGATTGGTGACTTACTGGGATGACTCCAACAGCCTGACATCCACCCAGGTATTTCTAGGTTCCTGCTGTGATCATGGAGACCCACAAAGGTGGGTGGACGTATCAAGTGGGGACCACCAAGTCTGGCTTTTAGCATTGGTGCTCACTCCATGTGCCTGGTGTGTGGTTGATGATCAAGAGATGTTGTTGAATAGGCAAATGAATGGGATGGTGCACAGCCTTTGAGTGGGGGAGGGGGGAAACTGGATGTGGGAGCAGAGGCCCCATCAGTGGGTGAGGGGACAGAACCATTGTCTCCTTCCTGGGTTTTGTTGACGAAATCAGAAGTCAGAGTTACGGGCCATTCTATTTGGTGCTGAGATAACTAGATGGTTGGCCCCGCCTAAGGAAAGTCCTCATTGTCTGCAAGGATTTTTTTTTTTAGGTGTTTGGATGCTTCTTCTGTGTTATATATATCTGTGTCCCCTCTACTTTTTGTTCATTTACTTGTTTATTTATTCATTTATTCTTTGTTTTTTTTTCAGAGGATTGCATAGTGGTCAAGAAATGAGGGCGGCAAGGCAGGAGATGCCTCATGCCTTTGCAAATGTCAGTCCCCCACCTCTATCCCTCTGACCACCCTCACTTCTCTTGGCTGCCTCTTCCTTATCTTTCAAGCTGTAGCTTGGAGGTCACTTTTACTAGACGGCTCCTTGGCTATCCAGACTGGTTCTTTTTTCTGTGCTCCCAAGGCCCCCATGTGGCCTCCGGCACAACCTCCATCACTGTGGTAGATCCTTGTCTGGATCCTGGAAGCAGGGGCCTGGTGCTGGTTCTCCACTGAGTCCCAGGACTGAGGTCTGACTTAAGGTAGGCACTCAATTAATAGTTGTTATATAAATGAATGAATGGATGAAGGACAGGTCTCACATTCCCAATTCATAGCTTTCATCCCTTCTTAAAACCCTTTCTAATGAAATAAATGCCACCAGGGATAGACTTGTCTCTTCATCCTGAGTGCGGCTCACCAAGCTCTTTTCCTGAGGGCCTTCGCCCTCTATAGGGCGGGAGAACTCTTCTTTTCTTTAAAATTTATTTATTGAAGTATAGTTGATTTACAATGTTGTGTTAATTTCTGCTGTACAGCAAAGTGATTCAGTTATACGTATATATGGATTCTTTTTCATATTCTTTTCCATTATGGTTTATCACGGGATATTGAATCTAGTTCCCTGTGCTATACAGTAGGACCTTGTTGTTTATTCATTCTATATCTAATAGTTTGCATCTGCTAATCCCAACTCCCAGTCCATCCCTCCCTCATCCCTCCTCCCCCTTGGCAAGCACAGGGGTGAGGAGAAGCCTTTTTTTTTTTTTTTTTTTTTTTTTTTGGTGTCCGGGCTCCCCCTGCTGTGGCTTCTCCCGTTGCAGAGCACAGGCTCAGCGGCCATGGCTCATGGGCCCAGCCGCTCCGCGGCATGTGGGATCTTCCCGGACCGGGGCACGAACCCATGTCTGCTGAATCAGCAGGCGGACTCTCAACCACTGCGCCACCAGGGAAGCCCAGGAGAAGCCTTCTTAATCCACCTCCTCCTTCTTCATATTGTTCACCCAGTGAACTAAAAGCACAGAGAGAGTGAGCAACTCACCTAGGCTCACACAGCCAGATTGGAGTGTGGTTGAAAACTGGATGAAGCCCTGAAGGTCATTCCCGATGTGAGAGCTGGCAGTTCAGGGAGCCGTGGCTGAGTAGTGGGCAGGCACTCTGAATGCTGTCTCCAGGGGCCCCTCCAGGGACTCTTGGATATAGTGATGTGGTCCTTCTGCGGCCTGGGCACATGCTACCACTGACTTCCTGGAGTCTCGCTTCCTGCTTGTGAGCAGAGCTGGACACTTGCAGCTCAAGCCGAGGATGTGACTTAGGCCTAAGCAAAGATGTTCTGAAAAGTTTTGTGGGACCAAATGGGCCCATGTACGAGGGGTCCTTCCCCGCCTCACTCATCTACCACCTGAGCAGGACT